CAGACAGTGTGTTTGTATAGTGCTGGATGCCAGATTGCAGGTGCAGTTTCCACTGTATGCCTTTATTTCTAGGTTTATTTTTAGCTGCAAGCCTACAGTGCAGTTTATTCTACATATATTGGACTTTTTAATCAGCTCAAAGCCTCATGCACCAACTCACGCGCCCTGATTAGATGGTAAAACTGTAAGCGTTTAATGAAAATCTGCACTGTCATGACTATTAGCTGCTAGTTAAAGTTTGATGATGAGTTAAAGTTCACACAATAAGTAGTTTTAAAAGAAAATCTCATTGGCATGCCCTGTCTTCATAACAGCACACTAATTTTCCCCGATTCAGAAGATCAGAAGATTTTTGTCACTAAAAGGTTACTATGCAGACTAATGAAACGCGGCCGTGCCGGGCAAAAGCATGTTGTTGCTCCTGTGTTGCATCCAGCAGATCAAAGGCAACAAAAGCCTTTGAGCCAGGTGACAGGTGTGGTAAATAACCCTGTCTGTGACCCAGAGGAATCCTTTGAGGGGGCTGCGTACAGTTAATAAGGTGTGAGGCGAGCTGTAGTGGTGCTGTCAGGGCAGCAGGAAGGGCGCTGTCAGGACTGGTATTTGGGGATGGCTTTTAAAGCCTGTGTGTCTCTCAGACTGTCTGGGGTTCTGATACAAGTACCACTGGTTCAAAGGCTTGTATTGTGACCAGAGATCTGCAGGTCTGATGAATAATCTTCTCTGAGGAGCCGTCTGAAGGGGCTGGGAGTGGCTGATATGTGCTTGTAAAAAATAACAGCGTGAGTATGTCGTGCAGCTCAACCCCTGTGTTGCTCAGAGAAACAGGAGTTTTGTTTCGTGCTAACAAATCGTTTGATTGATTCGGTAATCAAAAGAAAAATAATCCTGCTGGTACATTAAGCTTTTATTTCAAGTGCCAATTACACCAATTTATAAGGACTCTTTACTGTTTTGTATTATTGTGACATTAATTACTTTAATGTTGAGACATTCATTAAAAATAAAAAGCAAGACTGACATTTTATAGTTTCATAGATTAAAACTGATCAGTTATTTTTAAAATAAGAGGGTAATCAGTAACAATCACAGTCACAGCCGTCTATATAGCCTGAAAATACATTTAGAAACTACTAATTCAACAGCAAATGCATTTTGTCTTGTTTCTAATCAACATAATGGATATAGTGTACATTTATTACATCAATCACAGCACATTTTCCTCTAAATGTCCGTTTATTACAACTAATACAAAGTTTTAAAAGGTTACAGCAAGTCACAGAGCACTGTTAAAGAATAAGACCAGGGCCTTCTCCTTTTGTAACCTCTGGCACACAAGGCTGTTTTTAAAATTTATTATCTGGGGGAGAAAAAAAACTCACATTCAGTCAATAACAGCTTCACAAATGTAATGCCAACTAATAAGTTACCTTGTTGCCATATCTCCAGGCCACAGTAAGATTTACTGCTAAAAAGAAGAGCCAGTTTTACTTCAGCTTTTTCAAAAATGTAGAGAATAAATATCTTAACTATGACCAGCCACTAAAAAACAAGCATTGAAATAAAAATTAAAAAAGAACCAGTACAAGAACAGAAAATCGTATATAAAAAATAAATCAGTGAAACTGGAATCACTGAGATTTCAAAAAACACTGAGGAGCCTGACTGACATGTATTTATAGTCTAATAAACCACAGTGGAAACTAATCAGAAAAGCAGGTGACAAAAAATATTAGCAAAATAAAACAAAATTGAGACACAGGAAGGACAC